CATGAGTGGGAATCTAAAAAAATAATAAAGTGAATATTCTCATGGCAAGTGTATACATATTTTCAGATGTGAGCTATCTGCAAAACCCTACTTGAAAGAAAACACAGTAAGAAAATTGATAGTAGAAGGATCTCCTGCACTGATCCCCCTCCAAGTGGTTGACAGTGGTAGCCAGGCACCATCTAGTTCTTCCAGTCTCATGGTCAGGTAGGCTGCAGATCACATGGTCTATTTGTTCCTTGGATTAGTTGTTTCCATGTGTCTTTGCTTTTCTTCATTCTTCTTTGCTCTGGACAAGGAGAGGCCCATCATTACATCTAGGTGGCTGCTTGCAAGCTTTTAAGACACCAGTCTCTACTCGCCAAAGTAGGATGTAGAACAATGTTTTTGTGTAGTGTGGTATGCCAATTGAGCTTGATGTCCCTTGCAACCATGGTCCCAAGCCCACAGGTCCAACTACTCAACTACGCACTTGCTCAGGGTAGCTGGCTGTGGCCAAGAAGCCACCACAACCTTGTCTATGAGGGTCAGTTTTATGGAAAGGTTCTAAAAATGCTTCTATGAGCTCTTACCTAGAGCCTGCTCCTCCAGCCCTCCCAAAGATTTTGTAAACACCTCCTAATCTATGTACAGTCCCTTTGTTTCTATTTATAGTACTGAATCCTAACTGAACACATTATATTGTTTGTAGCCTAAAACTGCACACTATTTCTGGTTATCTACTGGAGAAGAAGGCTTCCCACAAACGACTATGGATGCATGGTTAAGTGTCAGCTATGGGATGGGAACCTGAGTGGCTGGAGGACAGAGGTGGGAGCCTTTGTTTATTTTGTTGTTGATTTGTGACTTAGGAGACTCCATGTGTTACAGAATAGAACTTTGCCACAGTTTTTTTGGCTTTAAGGAAGCAAATAGTCAAGGCTTTCTTCCATTAGTCCTGCTGGGTGGGTTCATTTGGCCAACTTTTTGGTTATCAGCCAAGTAGAAACTGTTTGCTCCACCTAAGGGGCTTAGGAATCTTACTTTTCAGAGCATATCTTTTGTGCACCTTATGAATTTTGTGCTATGTGTAGTATGTTAGGAGCCCCGGTGGTGCAGAGGTTAAAGTACTTGGATACTAAAAGAAAGGTCAGCAGTTCAAACCTACCAGCAGCTCCATGAGAGAAAGATGTGGCCATCTACTTTCATAAAGATTTACAGTGTTGGAAACTCTGCGGTTTAGTTCTACTGTGTCCTACAGTGTCTCTGTGAGTCAGAATTAATTGAACATCAGCAACTTTGGTCTGGTATATATATTATGGATATTATACAAAGACAAGTGAGCCTCTCATTTGCATAAATGTGGAGAATGGTGTACAGGAGGACTACATATGATTTATATCAGTCATTTGCCCACTCAGTACAATGATGATTACAATACCTCTCTGGAGGACTAGATAAGATAATAATGCATGTTGAGAGTATTCTGTAATCTCAAAAGCACTCTTGATCACCATGTGAATGAGAGGAAGGACACATAATGTAAACTAGATAAAAGGAAGGAATTGTCTTCTTGGCAGGCTGAAACAGTAAAGATTGCAATAAAGACTGGTTAAAGAATTCTTCAGAAAAAGGGTCTTGCAAATATTTGCAAAAATTAAGAGACCATATTAGAAAATAGACTGTAAGTCCTTTGCTTAAGAGTTTTGTTAGTCAGTGTGGTAGATAAGTTGTGGTTATCTGGGCCTGGTTTTGAGTAGCTGGGCAGCTGGATGTAGTTATTCCCCATGATGAGACTGGTAAATAGCTCCATGATGGAGTCTACTGTGAGCAGCTGAATAGCTAGTTGCCGTAGGGATGTGGTCTGGTTCCAGTATATAAGAAGACAGCTTTGAGAAAGGTCTCTGAGCTTTTGGCATGCTTGGACACTGCATGTAGCTAAGTCTTCATCTCAATGGTCTACCATGTTATCTGCTTATCTTGGGACTGTTAATGGACTTGAATTAGTGGCCTACCATGTTGCCTGATAATGTTGGGACTGTGCCATTTTACTTGTTGACTTTGGGTTTTCAGCCTCAGCAGCCAGCAACTGCCTGAGTTAAGAGAAGGCTCCAGCTTCAGTGGGCCAGGAGCAAGAGGCAGAGCTGAAGCCCAAGGTTGAGGGGTTTTCACCCAGCCCCTAGAGTTGCTGTTGTTGTTGTTAAGTGCTGTTGAGTCGAACCCGATTCATAGCAACCCCTCCTTGGGTTTCTGAGGCAGTATCACTACGGAAATAGATTGCACAACCTTCCTTCCAAGGAGTGGCTGGTGGGTTTGAACCGCCAGCCTTCTGGTTAGCAGTCAAGTGCTTTAGCCACTATGCTACCAGAGCTCCCACTAGGTGACTAAAACAGTCAGTTATGGCTGTATGAGAGCACTCTAAACTGAAGTGCCTAGCATGATTAAAGTTAACTGCCCTAGGTCTAAATCAAAGCTCCATTGTTGAATTAAACTTGTCCAAAGTCCTCCATTCTGCCTTCTTAAAGATAAAGCCTCTAATTTAGAGCTGCAACATTTTGTGTACTTTAACCACTTTCAGCAAAAAATAGAGAGGACAAGAAAATGATTTGTGAAGAAATGTGTGTCAGCAAATGTTTGTCAAGATGGTCTCAGAAGAGTGCTTGCATAACAGGCCTCAGGAAGAATGTATACACAGCTTACTAAGTTAGCTCCAAGAAATTTATGTTAAACATAAATCAGCCTACCTTATAAAATCTCAACTTGCTGTTGTCTTGTAACTATAAATAATTCCTAGCCCTCATGACTGTAACCTTATACTCCCTTTCCCATTTATCTGTGAAAACTCTCCTGTCCTTCAGAATGTCACAGCACATTGATGAACCATCACTAGGTGCTGCCTGATCCGTATCACTCTATTCCTTCAGTAAAACTCTGCATTAATTTTAACAAAGACACCAGTTTACTCTTTGACACATACGAAGTTGAGAATTGTTTTTTCCATTTCTGTAAAGAAGGCTGTTGGAATTGTGATCAGAATTACTTTGAAAATATAGATCACTTCTGGTAGTATTGTTATCTTACCAATATTAAACCTTCCAATCCATGAACATGAAACCTCTTCGCATTTAAGTCTTCCTTGATCTCTTTCAGCAGTGTTTTATAATTTTCATTGCATAAGTCCTTCACATCCCTGGTTAAATTTATTCCTAAGTATTTTATTCTCTTAGATGCTTTTGTAAATGGAATTGTTTCTCTAATTTCCCTTTCAAATTTCTCATTGCTGGTGTATAGAAGCCCAGCTGATTTTTGTTTGTTGACCTTGTACCCTGCAACTTTGCTAAATTCTTCTATTAGCTTAAGAAGTTGTTTTGTGGACTCTTTGGGTAATAGCTGACATTGAAGCTAAGCCTAAGCACCTCAAGACTTATCAGAATACCTTGTCTGAGAGTTATTGACAGATCTTCCATCTACATCATTAGGGATTTTCTTCCTCCATGTATATAAGGGAAACCGAATCACATTTTGTGTGATTAGTATCTCTTGAACACATAAGAAAATTAGTTTGCATAAAATAGGTCTTGTTGTTAGTTACTGAAGAGTCAGTTCTAACTCGTGGCAACCCCATGTGTGCAGAGTAGAACTGTGCTCCATAAGGATTTAGTTAATCTTCCAAAATATTTCAACATATCAAATCTGAATGATAACTCAGGTGGAACACATGTTAAACCTACACTATAGTCAGAACCAATACTATCCAACTGTTGTCCTCAGCACCATGTACAACATACCTTTTATCTCCTTTAAGATATATATATTTTTTAGTAGTTGTCAGAAGATTTTTCCTCAGATGTGCCCCAAGTAAAATTCTTCCAGAGCAAATATGAATTATATCTTCACCTTTGCCCTCCTTGCATTCAGTAGTAAATTAACCCAGGAAACTTTAAAGCATTTTTCATTTTCATTTTGAAAACTTAATATGCCAAGAGTACATAATACTGTAAGATAATATTAAAATCATCCATAATTCTATCCATAAACACTATTTTCATATTCTATTTGCACACACACATACACACATATACTTAAATATTTGAAACCATAGCATATATTCTGGTTTATATTATTTGATTTTCATTTAATAACTAATATATCATGAAAAATTTTCTACATTGTTGCAGAGTATTCTTAATTCTAACATTTAATGTTCCTTTGTGTTGTTTAGTGAGGTATACCCATCATTCTATTTAAAATAGCAAACACTGGACTTCTTATCCCTATTATATGCTTTATTTTTTCTAAAATATTTATTACCAGTGCCAAAGCCATTTATTTTCATTCTCCTGAAATCTAGATTTCTGGGTTTCTGGAATTGGGGTGACCCATTTATCCTTAGGTGTCCTTTTGAACCTTGAACCTTAAAGAAACTGGTACCCTGGAGTCACCTTCAGGTCAAACAATAGCCTAGTAAGTAGCTTAGCACAGACCATTGGCTTTCAACCCACTGCCATCGAGTTGATTCCAACTCATAGCGACCCTATAGGCATTGAGTCATTTTGGGGAATTATCTGTGTACAGCCTGCTTTAAGAAGCAAGAACTCCAGGGGTTGACTAGAGGCTGTATTTGATGGTGTATGGTGTGTCCTTGATGATTTTGTTTCTGTAACTGAGGAATTCTGAAACCCTCCCCTGTACTTTGATTCTATCTTCTGAAAAATTAACATAACAATCCCTATATAACCTGCTTTCACTGTCTCCTTTTCATGACCATTCATGATAAAACATTCCTAACAGTTATGGGGGAACTTTCTCAACTTAATAAAGAACATCTATAAAAAACCTATAGGGCGTTTTCTGAGCCCTGTTCTGAATAGTTTTCATTTTGATGCTGCTCAATTCTAATCATATATACTCATAATAAATATATTCGGTTACCCTAATTTTTGGTGTTTCTCTGTGCATTTAGGTTTTTGACACCATCTGCTGTAGTGTGTGTTCACTTATTTATTTTATTTATATCTGTC